AAAAAAAAATACATAAATAAATAGAAATGAAAAGAAAACTAAGTTTTCTAAATTTAGTACAATTGACTGTCCATGAAGAAGGGTAGGTAACAGTGTATGCAACTATAATGTAGAAAATAGAGAAGTCAGCTCGGCTCCCATAGCTCAGTGAGTAGGGCGCCAGCCCATACACGGAGGCTGGTGGGTTCAAACTGGGCCCGGGCCAGCTAAAAACAACAATGACAACTACAACAAAAAATAGCCAGGTGTGGTGGTAGGTGCCTGTATTCCCAGCTACTTGCAAGGCTGAGGCAAGAGAATCACTTAAACCCAGGAGTTTGTAGCTGTGAGCTATGACGCCATGGTACTCTATCAAGGGTGACATAGTGAGACTCTGTCTCAAAAAACAAAACAAAACAAAACAAAAAAAAAAGAAAGAAATCAGAAAAGTCAGAATTCAGAAATTCTAGCCTTCTGACCAAATGTCTGAGTCAGCAAAGAAAAGTATTAACAGTGGGCAGGTGGCTCACACCTGTAATCCTAGCACTCTGGGAGGCCTAGGCAGGTGGACTGCCTGAGCTCAGGAGTTGGAGATTAGCCCTAGCAAAAGAGAGACCCTGTCTCTAAAAAAGACAGTCAGTTCTTGTTGTGGGTGCCTGTAGTCCCAGCTCCTCAGGAGGCTGAGGAAAGAGAATTAATTGCTTGAGCACAAAAGTGTGAGGTTTCTGTGAGCTATGATGCCATGGCACTCAAACCCAGTGTGACTGAGTGAGACTCTGTCTCGAAAAAAAAAAAAAAAAGCATTATAAACATAATTCTGAATTCTACATATGTTTTTATTTCTTCTTTAATAACAGATGGGAAAAGGCAGGAGAGGTGGCTCACGCCTGTAATCCTAGCATTCTGGCAGGCCGAGAGCAGGAGGATTGCTTGAGTTCAGGAGTTCCAGACCAGACTGAGCAACAGTGAGACCCCATCTCTACTACAATTAGCTGGGCATTGTGGCTGGTGCCCATAGTCCCAGCTATTCTGGACGATAAGGCAGGAGGATAATTTGATCCCAGAAATTTGAGGTTGCTATGAGTTAGACTGATGCTAAAGCACTCTAGCCTAGGCAACAGAGAGAGAGAGAGAAGTGGTAAAGTACTGTTCAATGGCAAAGACTTATTTATTGTTATATTAAAAAAATTTTTTTTGAGACAGTCTTACTCTGGTGCCCTGAGTAGAGTGCCATGGCATCATAGCTTACAGCAACCTCAAGCTCTTGGGCTCAAGTGATCCTCTTGCCTCAGTTTTTCTATTTTTAGTAGAGATTGGGTCTTGCTATTGCTCAGGCTGATCTCAACTCCTGAACTTAAGCAATCCACCCACTTCAGTCTCCTAGAGTGCTAAGATTATATGTGTGAGCCACCACTCCAGGCATTTTTTTTTCCTTTGGACACAGAGTCTTGCTCTGTCACTTGGGCTAGAGAGTGCAGTGTCATCATTCCAGCTCACTGCAACCTCAAAGTCCTGGGCTCAAGCAATCCTCCTGCCTCAACCCCCCAGAGTAGGTGGGACTATTGGTGCATGCCACTAAGCCTGGCTAATTTTCTCTATTTTTTTGTAGAGATGGGGTCTGGCTTTTGCTTAGGCTGATATGATATATTATTATTAGAGTTTTAGCTCTCAAAATTGGGCAAAGGAACTCCCAAAAGGGGTCCCTTTTTAAAAAATTATGTCCTTTTTCAAAGTTGAGACCCAAAGGGGTGTTTCTTGAACATTTAACAAAGCAAAGCAAATCCTTGCCATATAGGATAGGTCAAGATCTGGTCATGGTTTTCTGGAATCAGTGACATTTGCTGTGGGAAATAGGCTTTTATGTGTGTGTTGTTTTTGTTTTTTGCAGTTTTTGGCCAGGGCTGGGTTTGAACCCATCACCTCGGCATATGGGGCCAGCATCCCACTCCGTTGAGCCACAGGCGCTGCCCTGTGGGTTTTTTTTTTTTTTTTTTTTGAGACAGAGTCTATGTCACCCTCGGTAGAGTACCATGGCATCACGGCTTACAGCAACCTCAAACTCTTGGGCTTAAGAGATTCTCTTGTCTCTGCCTCCCAAGTAGCTGGAACTGCAGGTGCCCACGACAATGCCCAGCTAATTTTTTGTTGCAGTTGTCGTTGTTTTAGCTGGCCCAGGCCTGATTCAAACCCACCAGCCTGGCTGTATGAGGCTAGTGCCCTACCCACTGAGCTATGGGCACTGCCAGGCTTTTATGTTTTAATTATGGTTTTGCATTGACTTTTGCTTTTAAGTTTCTTTGTTCCTTTAATGTTGTCCTGCTATGAGAATTCAAGTCACATTTAAAAAATTGTAAAATATACATTGAGGAAATAATCCATGTGTCCATTGTCCAGTGAGTTAAAATGCAGTATGTACAAACAATGGAATATCGTTAAAAAAGAAGGAAATTCTGGGCAGCGCCTGTGGCTCAAAGGAGTAGGGCGCCGGCCCCATATGCTGGAGGTGGTGGGTTCAAACCCAGCCCCAGCCAAAAAAAACTGCAAAAAAAAAGAAGGAAATTCTGACACATGCTACCTTGAAGAAATGATGCCAAGTGAAAAAAGCTAGTCACACAAAGACAAATACTGTACAATTCCACTTATAGGTAGTATTAGGTACTTAGAATTGTCAAGTTCACAGAGACAGAAAATAAAATAGTGATTATCAGGGGATGGAAGGAGGAAGGAAGGGGGAGTTATTGTACATTAGGTAAGAAGTTTCAGTTGGGGGGGGCAGCACCTGTAGTTCAGCTGGTAAGGCACTGGCCCCATATACTGAGGGTGGTGGGTTCAAACCTAGCCCTGGCCAAACTGCAACAGAAAAATAGCCAGGCACTGTGGCAGGCACCTGTAGTCCCAGCTATTTGGGAGGTTGAGACAAGAGAACGCCTAAGCCCGGGAGTTGAAGGTTGGTGTGAGCTGTGTGACACCATGGCATTCTAGTGAGGGCAATAAAGTGAGACTCTGTCTCTAAAAAAAGAAAAAAAAGAAGTTTCAGTTTGGGAAGATGAAAAAGTTCTGGAGATGGAAGAGGGTGATGTTTGCACAACAATGTAAATGTACTTAATGTCCTTGAACTGTACACTTAAACATGGTTAAGATGGTAAACTTTACATTGTATTTTATCACAAAGGCCAGGCGCAGTGGCTCATGCCTGTAATCCTAACACTCTGGGAGGCCAAGGTGGGTGGATTGCCTGAGCTTACAGGTTCCAGATCAGCCTGAGCAAGAGTGAGACCCCCATCTGTAAAAATAGCCGGGTGTTGTGGCAGGGCCTGTAGTCCCAGGTACTACTCAGGAGGCTGAAGCAAGAGAATTGCTTTTGAGCCCAGGAGTTTGAGGTTGCTGTAAGCTATGAGCCTCAGCACTCTACCAAGGGTGACAAAAGTGACACTCTGTCTCAAAAAAGAAATTATATTTTATCACAATTTTAAAAACCCCTCAATGTAATTTATGTTGAAAAAGTATATTAGACCAGTATACTCAATTTTTTTTTTTTTTTTGAGAGACATAGTTTCACTTTGTTGCCCATAGTAGAATGCCCTGGTGTCACAGCTCACAGCAACCTCCAACTCTTGGGCTCAAGTGATCCTCTTGCCTAAGCCTCCCTAGTAGCTGGGACTACAGGCACCCGCCACAACGTTGGGCTGTTTTAGAGATTGGGTCTCACTCTTGCTCAGGTTGGTCTCAAATTCATGAGCTCAGATAATTCACCTGCCTCAGCTTCCCAAGTGCTGGGATTACAAGCGTGAGCCACGCACCCTGCCCAGATATATATATATTTTTTTCTTTAGAGACAAGGTCTCGCTGTGGCTCAGGCTGGTCTCAAACTAGTGAGCTCAAGCTATCCACCTGCCTTTGGCCTCCCATAGTGCTAGGATTACAGGCATGAGCCACCACGCCCGGCCCAGTATACTCAGTTTAATAATTACTCACCTAGCCAAAGAAATAAAATACTATCAGAGGGTACCCCTGTGTCCCTCCCTCACAACCTCCTTCTTTCCTGAGTAATCACTGTCATTGCTCAAACATTTGGTTTTAGAAATCAAGACTGTGAGGTGACAACGCAGAATAAATTAAATCAACACTACAAAACACAACGGATTATTTCTTAAATTCCAACATTTTCCATAGATTCAAAAAAAACCCCAACAAACCCTTAATAACTTTTAAAGTGCTCTTTCTCCTCTTTCTTTGCTCTTAAAACTCTTCACATTCTAAATCTAAAACCTATTTTGGTTCCACAGTTGACCTCACCTGCAGAGTTTAATTAAAAAAAAAAATTCAGGGTAGATTTTCATTCCTCCCGCTCTGTCTCGCTTCCAACTACAAAGAAACAATGATTTAAACCCTTTGTGCCCTTTTAGAAAATTACACAGATACCCCATTGTGGAACCTTATAATCCCTTCGTGGAAAGGAAGAGATTAGCATATGAATACAAAGCAAAATGAATCCAGAATACAAAATGATCTACTGGATTGTGAAGCTCTTGTAGTCTTAAAAATGTATTTATTTCCTCTTTTGGTATTGTCCCTTTAGTGGTCTCAGGGTTAAGGGAACTGAGCTTCCCCTCTGGTTACCCGGAAAAGGATTTAAAAAAAAAAAAGCCACCAGATTCTAGGAGGTGCAAAACCAACAGATGGCTCCCAGCGCCAGGGGAATCGCCAGTGGAATCTGCTACACTCGACACGAGCTTGCTTGCCGGCGAGGAGTGTAGAAACTGCCGTTCGCAGACTGCGTGGTAAAGGAGAGAAAGCGACAGAAGAGAGAGCCATAGTGCTGACGTTGAAGGCCCGGCCCTGTGAGGTTGCACAGGGTAAGTGGCGTTGGCCAGGAGGCAGGGGCGAAGGGGAAGGAAAGAGGATTTGGGCTGGGGGCGGGGCTTGCGGCACAGCGTGGCTTCTGATTGCTGGAGTGCGGCTGCCAATCTCGCAGACTCGCTCGGTTAACCAGTGCGCTGGCGAGACGCGCTCAGATATACTGAGCGAGCCCTGGGAAGCAGCCTCAGATCCTGACGGTGCAGCAACCCGCAGCCTCAGCCAGGGAGTCCCAGCCGCTTTCAATGGAGGAGAAGCCCGGCCAGCCACAGCCTCAGCACCATCACAGCCACCACCATCCGCACCATCACCCCCAGCAGCAGCAGCAGCAGCAGCAGCCGCACCACCACCACCATTATTATTTCTACAACCATAACCACAACCACCACCACCACCATCATCACCAGCAGCCTCACCAATACCTGCAGCATGGAGCCGAGGGCAGCCCCAAGGCCCAGCCAAAGCCGCTGAAACATGAGCAGAAACACACCCTCCAGCAGCACCAGGAAACGCCGAAGAAGAAAACAGGTCTGGGAGGGAGGACGGGTGGGGGAAGGGGATTGGAGGTGGGGGGCCGGGGAGATGGGGGTGGGGCTGGTTCGGGGAAGCGCGGACGGGGTCGGGGTGCATTTGAGTGTCCTCTGGGTCGGGGAAGGTCCGTTTTCGCTTTCCCGGAGCTCGGGCAGTGCGGTTTGCAGGGCCTTCTCTTCCCTTCAGCATGGGAGAGGCCCAGCCAGGCCGGCGCGATCTCGGCCCCCGCCCCGGCTGAGGGAGACCCGCAGGGTCGGCCTTGGGGGTCCCAACCTTATTCTTTCCCCGTTCACCCAACTGCGGCCCTGAGTTACCTTCATTTGGGGACCCCGAGATGGGGTCAGCCCACCCCCCCCCAGCAAAGATCCCTCGAGGTGTACCTCAGAAAGGCCTAGCGAATCCCGACTGGGGTGGCGCCGCGAGACCTTCCGCGGGCGGCAGGAGTGGGTAGGTGGGCTGAGTTGAGGAAGTGTCCCTCACCCGCCACCCCAAGCCCACCTGTGGCCTTGGGGTTCCCCGTTTTGGGGGGGCTGTGGGGACCTCTCGCGTCCCGGGTCATTTTCACCCCTAAAGGCCTGTTTCGGACTCCAGACCCCTCCGCCTCTCCCCGTGGCTCCTCCCGAGGCCGGAGCCCCGGGCCCGCTCCCCCCAGAGCCGGCGCGGCTGGAATGTTCTCTCCTCCTCGCGGGGCCGCTTCCTGTCCGCCATGTTGGAAGCCGATTCCTGTCACCGACTCCGGCCCACTGAGGAGCGGAGGGGGAAGGGTGTCGAGGGGCACAAGGCGCAGTCGGGCCGGGTGCCCCGGGA